TTATTTGTTTTCAATTAGATTAAATCATAAAAATATAATCCATTTATTATTTAAAAATTGGTAATAAGTCGCTAAAATCATCTAAATGTGATATATCCACTTGTTATTTAGTTTTAATCTTAATAGAAATTCTATATGTTTATAATCTCAAAATGTAGTTTATGATTTGATAAAGCAATTATTTAATATTTGATAATAGTAATGATATGTAAATTGCCATGGATGAAGATTTATTTTGTTAAGATTGTGTGAAATTAATAAGAAAAAGAAGTTTAGAATAATCATTAACTAACTGTTTGACCAAATAAAAAATCATTAACTAATTGAATTAATGATAAATTTTATAGATATCTTTTGTGCTATAATTGCTAGATTGCTTTTTGAATATGAATATTTTTTAATGTGAAAATAAGAAATTTATAATGTGATATAGAATGTTTATTCGCATAATTTTAGCAAACAAATATTTAATTATTGATTTATTTAATTTTTATTTATATTTTAAATTATATAATTTTTAAAAATTTGATGATATGATCAGTTATGTATATATACTATGTAGAATTTGATTAGTTGATTATTTCATATGCTAACATATTTTTTTATCTTTTGATTTTTCAAAAAAAAATGTTATCTTTGTTTTTTTAGATATTTGATGATTTTGTTTTATTAGATTTCATTCTATATAAATTATTAATTTCGAAAGTATATTAAAATATTAAATATGTTTATGTATATTCAAAATAGATATGTTTACATATACTTAATTTTGAATTTAATTGTCCACTTTCATGGTAAAAGATTATTATGATTTCCATAAATATAGATTGTTTTTGTTTTTGTTTTTGTTTTTTTTTCTGTCATTAATTCTGTTTGGCAACTGGAATATATTTCATAAAATTTTTTTTTCAAAATTGGGGGTATTTGGCTTCAAGTTGTCCTTCCCAATTAATAGTATAGATTCAACTCTATCTGCTTATTTTAATTTATGTCAACCATTTGCTTGTATAATCACGGTTATATATTAGAATACAAATCTTAAATATAAAAATATAATAATTTTTCGATAACGTAGACATAAAAATGAATAAAACATGTTACTCTTTAGTGTGTTTAGTCGAGATCAACAAAAAAAAAAAAATGATACAGTTATGACCCTAGTTGATGTAAATAAGTTGAAAAACCGTACAAGTTTAGAAGCTCAAGGTGTACTAGTTACAGGTTCTTGAAGGGCAAGAGGAATGGCTGGTCTCCAAGTTGTTCCTTCGGGACTATCCATCAAAGCGATCCCAACGGATGCCAAATCTTTCCTAATTGCATCAGATCTTTCGTATTCTTTGTTCTTCCTTGCGTCTGTTCTCTCTTGCACTCTTTGCAACACATCTTCCTCTTTCAGTCCAGCTCGCTTTAGTGCCTTCTCTTTTAGCTGATTAAGAACCTGACGATTGGCGGAAACAGAACAGTTAGATACAAAACACTAATAACGAGTAAAATGGTAAAGAAGTATCAATTGATGGGTGACACTGGGATGTTGTGACAGGCTAAACTGGCTCGGCCCATACTCATCTCAACCCTGATTTTAGTGTTTACCGCTGATCTCAACGGTTTTAGTTTTTATGTAGGGCGAGAATTTTGGCCTGCCGCAAAATCATTACTCTGCTATAGTGGAAGCTGTACCTCTGAGTAGCTTGTGGGCATAAGCCCCAGTATAGTAAGGACATCTCTGATTGTTGTCTCTAGAGCCTTGAGTGACTCTTCTCTTCTTGCTTGCTTTTTTCCCTGAAATCAGCATGATCAGCTAAATATCCTTAACCGATTCAAGGTTTATGAACGTAAGAGCATATGTTATACATACCTTTCGGGTGTGAATGAGATCGTTGATAGTTTTTAATGGTTCTGACATTGCTGCTAGAGTTACCGGAGTGAGGAGATCATCAGACATCGAACCAATAAATTCGCTACGGAATGTGGTAATGGTTGTCAAAGTATCTGAAGGAACAGAATCACTGTCAAATGTCGAATCTTTCTCGCCTAGAAGGCTTTCACAATCATGTAACGTCTGTCAATAAGCAAAGGAGAATATTCAAAGGATTGTAGTGAAGATATACATAATGTTGTGCCCTATAATAAAGCATCTCAGGCTTAAAAAAAGAGAGGTGCTCCAAAAATGCAAATTTTCTACTGACAAATAAAAGGTTTACCTGATAAATATAGAAAATGCGCTCTGAAGCACTCTCGAGGAGGAAATCAGAGTAATTGATAGGAGATCGATAGTGAGTTCCCATTAGAAAAAGTCTCAGGGCAAGAGGATGATAAAGGTCTATAACCTGCATGTTTGCAAACACGAAATTAAATGTTGGATATAAGAGTATCATTTCAAAACTAAATGTTTACCTGTCTGATTGTGAAAAAATTCCCCAAGGATTTCGACATCTTCTCGGAGTCAACAGTAACAAAACCATTATGAATCCAATAGCTGATGTTGCTGCTATCACAAGCTGCACAACTCTGAGCAATTTCATTTTCATGGTGAGGGAACACAAGATCCATTCCGCCACCATGTATGTCAAAACTATAACCAAGATAAGCGGCACTCATCGCACTGCATTCAATGTGCCAACCAGGCCTTCCTCTTCCCCAAGGACTCTCCCAAAAGGGCTCTCCTTCTTTTGCAGCCTGCCAAAAATTTGAGAGTCTTTTAGGACATAAATTAGCAAACCAGTGTTAAATTTAGGGCTTCAACGAAATTAATGCATACTTTCCACAGAGCAAAATCTGCAGGGTGTTTCTTCCTTGTGTCAACTGCTACTCTCTCACCTGCACGGTTATCTTCTAGTTTTCGCCCAGACAGTTTTCCATATGTTGGAAGTTTGTCAACTGAGAAGTAAATATCTCCATCAACTTTGTAGGCATACCCGTTATCAAGAATCTGAATGGAAAACATCGCATATGAATACATCTATAACAATGTTTAGCAACATGAAGACAAAGTGAAGTACTTATGGTCAAACCTGCTTGATCAGGTCGATGATTTGAGGTATATGATCTGAGACACGTGGTTGGACAGAAGGATCTAGACACTGAAGCTGTTCCATATCTCGATTAAATTCCTCACAGAACCGTCTGCTCAAACTGATTGGATCTTCCCCTAATTCATTAGCTCGGGCAATTATCTACAAAATTTGAAATTTCGTGAGTAAGTTCGGAAACTAGCTGCAGGCAGCTTCAGCAAGACAAAGTGAAAGTCTACCTAACATAATATAATCAGAGACAGATTAAGAACTAACTAACTCTTGTAGCAAAAATCAGCAGAAAATCAAGTAAGGAAAATGACTAACAAATTCTTTTCTTCGAGCTGTCTCAGTAAAGGTTATTCAAAGTTTGTTACACAACATCAGACAGATGAACGTAACAATCAAACAAGCATATGTAAAATGCGTAGACACAGACAGAAAGGATTGAACTAAGTGAACTCTCCCTGACAAAGACAAATACTGATCTTTTTCCATTTTTTTATATAAAACGAACACATCCCCACCACCTTCAAAACTAATGATTGTCGATTTATAAATTGAAAAGTTCAAATATTGCAAATTTGAAGGCACAAAGATGTATTCTTTTACACGCCTCTCACAAGTAAGTGAGATGGACTAACAGCATTGGAGACGCTGACAATACCATTGATTAATGATTATCATGCTTCCCTCGGACCAGAACTGTAGCAGCCAAGAAAAGATATAACTTAAATGCAGTCCGGAAATGTGGTAACAGACATTGGCTACTTATCCTATTAATCAAATGGTACCACAAAACTCAAACTTAAGAGGTTCTCACAAAAATCTATCTAAAAGGAACTCAAGAAGCTGTCTCTAAAATTCTAAACAGAGCTTAAGTTGTACAAGACTTTCCCCTGAAGGAAAAGCTTTCTACAAACTTCGAAAACAGAACTAAGTTGCTTAAGACTTAAACCAAGAAGCAGAGTTAACTCTGATTTTCATTGCAAAGACGCAGTTCCTTTGCCACAATTATCTCACCTTGTCATCCACATCCGTGAAATTTCGAACATAAGACACTTCATATCCTAGATGCTTAAGGTACCTGCCTAATCCCAATCAAAATTATAAAAAAATCAAAACTTTTCCATCACCCAATAAATCCAAAAGCTTCTTTCTCCAAGTCAATACCTCAAGAGCACATCAAACGTGACGTAGACTCGTGCGTGCCCAATGTGGCTGAGATCATAAGCTGTGACACCGCAAACGTACATTCCAACTTTACCTTCGACCTTGGGCTTGAACAGCTCCTTCTTCCTGCTCATCGTGTTGTGCAGCCACAGCTCCTTTTCTCCTGAGATCGAATCTCCACCGTCCGTTAGTGATGACAGAGCCGTGAAACATCGACGGGACTGAGTTAATTTTCCAGCCCTGAGGAGAAATGGACTTCTGAATTGAGACTTGGGAAGGGAAGAAAAGCGTATTGGAGTAAAGGGTCTACATGATTTGAAGAGATTGAGAACAGAAGAAGCCATTGGTGTGAAACGCTAAGCTCCTCCCCAGGAAGATGAAGAAATCGGATTAGATAAAGCGGCGAGGGATAGCTAAAACCTCTGAACTAATAACGGTTTTCGTAAACCGCGTTTATATTCTGGTTCGGTTAAATTAAGACTTGGACTTGGAGACATTGAAGCGGTTTAAATGGACTTTATGATCGATCTTTGAACCACTAATTTTGTGGTTAACACTAACTAGTAACTACAGTAAAACCTCTATAAATTAATAATGTTGGGACCACGAAAATCTATTAATTTATAGAGGTATTAATTTATCGATAAATTAATAAAGAGATTTTCCTAATTTGAAAGTTTTTTCAGAGAAATATTTAAAAATGAGATTTAATCATGATAATTAGTATTTTATATAATCAATTACAAAGAAAATAGTAATTATTATGTCTTGAAAGGGAATGCTAACAATTTTTGATATAGTAAAATATTAGAAATAAACTCTAACAAAAACTAATGTGTCTATATATACATATATTTTGAAAATTTTACCTAATTATTAATTTATAATATTATTGGGACTATATATTTACAAAGGATTTTCAAAAAAATTATTATCTTATTATTTTATCGAAATATGTCTAAAATTACATTGGTCCCAACTTGGTTCCGAAAAAATTTATTAATTTATAGAGATTATTAATTTATCGAGTATTAATTTATAGAGGTTTTAGTGTATTTAGTATCTACCATCTCTCTTTCTCTGAGATCAAAATTTATGACGTAGTCACGTATGGATCCACAAAGTTCAAAAATCAAAATTTAGCTAGATTTAAAACGTGAAAACTAGCCACTAATATTAAAATAAAAAGAGAATGTTTTAGTGATGATGATGAGGTTGGAATTTATATTAAACTTCAAAGAAATAATCTCGGTGTTATATTACGTATGCAATAATCGTTTTTAGACTACGTACTCACGTTTTTATCATTTTCATTTCTTAAATCATATACATATATACTCTCAATCCAATGGTATTATAATGTACGACCAGAATGGTCTTATTGATGTTTTCTTTAGGAACCATCCATACATTTAAAGGTCTACAAAATATTTATATTTTTCATCTAATATCCTATGTACAAGTCTTAACATACTTATAATTAATGTCTACTACAGAAGGGTTAATTAAACTACACACGAAATTACGATAAAGAACTGAAAAGGCTGATACATAATTTTTGTAATATATATTTGCATTCTTTTGGAGTTTTTGGTTCTTGGACCTTGTGTGTTGAAGTTTTGCAAACCATTGATCAACTAGAACAAAAAAAATTTTCCTTTTGTAAAAGATTCATATTTGCATGCAAAAGTTTACAAATATAGAGAGAAACACAATAGAAAGGACTTTTTTTTTTTTTTTTTTTTTTTTTTTTTTTTGGCAAGCGATTTTTTTTCTTTTTTTTTTTTTTTTTTGGACAAAAGAAAGGACTTTAAAATTTATTGATCATTTTGAATTATTACAAAAAGACTCGTTCGAAGTCTCAACGACAAAAGCACAATTAAAATGAACTAACACTCGGGTATGTCGGAAAATTCCTCAATTCTACGATTACTAGTGAAATGCTCAAACCAAAACTCCATGTCATCATTATACAACTCCGAATTATTATAACTCTTTCTCTTAATATTCCTATCCATCAACGTCCCTTCCCAATCCTCTATCTTATGATTCGAATTATCTACCGTTACGACGTCCGACCAAAAACTCTCATCGATCAAGGCAGAGATATCCTCGTACGACATTATACCGTCCTTGTTAATATCATTCGAAATATCAAATGTCGTAATGCTATTAGAAAACTGTTGAGGAGAGGTTGTGTCGACGACATGAACCATTGATGACTCTTTGTCTTCGTGTGTGGTGGTCTCGTTAATTCCGTTAATGTTCTCTTTGGTGTCTCCGCCATTGTTTTGATTCTTGTTTAGTCTTTTCTTCAAATGAGTGTGCCAAACATTTTTTATTTCGTTGTCGGTTCGTCCCGGCAACTTTGCAGCAATCGCAGACCATCTAAAATAATAAGAAACAAACAAATACTAAACAGTTTAAAAAAAAAAGTGTATCACATACTATATTATAGTTTATAGATTTCATCAATTTGTTACTTTTTAATATATTGCTTTTTAGGTACAGCATAAAACATGGGGATGGTAGAAAACAACAAAAACAAAAAGCTAGTACAATATATATGGCCATATGTTTTTGCATTGATCAAGGTGCAAATCTTTTCTAATTATATCGGTGAAGATCTTGTTTGTGTTTTTTTATATATTATAAACTCTATGCGAAGATAATTAATTAAGTCTTTGGTTTTGGTTTGAGTCTGAGGAAATCACGGGTAGGAATCTCTCCTCAGTCCCATGGTGTTAAAATATTTTGCAAATTGTAAAACAAAAACAAGAAAACTGTGGAGGTGATGATAAATTCTCTTGAAAAAAACAAGAAAAGAGAGACAAACCTGTTGCCCAAGCTTTCATGAAGATTGATGATAGTTTCTTCTTCTTGAGGAGTGAAATTGCCACGTTTGATGTCAGGTCTAAGATAATTGATCCAACGAAGTCTGCAACTTTTCCCACATCTAAGTAAACCTAAAACAAAACAAAAACACCAACCAAAATTGCTTATACATCATACACTTTATCAAGAATTATATATGGAAGATCAATATACAAAAAGGAATGTAAAAAAAATGAAAATTACCTGCGTGTTTAGGGAGAGCTCGCCAATTAGAATGACCATAAAGATGAATATAGTTAACCAAGATTTGATCTTCTTCAGGAGTCCATGGTCCTCTCTTCATCCCCATTTTCTCACAACATGGTGCTCTTCCCATCTTTTCTCTTCCGTTGCACTCTCAAGAAGATAACACTAGCTAGGAAGGACAAAAAAAGAGAGACTTTGGTCTTCAAATTGAGTTAAATGATTAGAAGAGCCAAGTGTTGGATATATGGGTATGGAGTTTTTATGAGAGAGCCAAAGAAGCCAAATGCTTGAAGGAAGTATGCGATGTAGACGTTTAGCGTGTTAATATAATATATTCACACACACATAATATTATATAATCACATTGCAACCGTGGGACAACTCCAAGTTGAAAAATTTCTCATACTTTTGATCCACACAGTCCAAAGTAATTTGCAACTTTTTTTCTTTTCTACTTTTAACGTTTTTATAATCTATTTAATCTGTTTAATATGTTTAATATGTTGACGATGATAATTAACTACAGGATCAGAGTCCTCCTGCTGTGGTAAAGAATGAGGTGCCATTTTATCCAAAGTAACAAAGTCTTTCGCGGTAAATATTTCTTACGATTTAGTCATTGGGAACTCAGTCGGAAATATATTATATATGGTTTTTATTTTATCATTATTCATTAGATATCCCTCATCCTGATATGTAAATTCATTCTTCATGTACCAATGACGAATCATGTCGCGACACATGAGTATCAAACTCACAAAGTATTTATCATGATTAATTAGATATGGTCCAAGACTTCATAATTTGACTAAGAGGGATTACATATTTGCAGGAGTTTTTCATTGTAACAAAGCAGCAATCTAAAGTCCATATTCTTGATATATAAATTGGTTCGTCATGTATCAATGACGAATCATGTCACGACACGAGTATAAACTCACACATGAGTATCAAACTCACACTTGGGTACATGACTCTGATGTCATGTGTCGCTTTTATACATATGTAAGTGTCTCAAGTGACTTCTTTTTGTGAACCATTTGTTTCGTTTGTAGAAAGCAGAATTATGCACAGTAACTCAGAAAGAATAAAATTAGAAATCTCGTATTTTAAGTAAATTTTGAAGAGTTTTGTAGGTAAGAATTTTGTGAGAAAGACGATGTTATTTATGTTCAACTTTCCAGTTTTTTTATGCGTATTACCCTACTATCACTTTTTGAATCTCAAAAGACATTACACCAAAAGCCAATATTTATCAGGTAATTATAAAATCTTTTTTTTTTTTGGTCATGATGATAAAGGTTATTATACGCAAAGTTTACTATTGCATTTCGATAAATTTATTCTAAAATTTTACTATTATGTTGGATATGATCGTCTCAAAATTATTTGTAGGTCATGTTCAAAGTTTTTATTAAAGAGATTTTTTTTTAGCTATAGTCCCTATATATTTTTGAGTTGGGGATCTATTTAACCATTTAATTTACTCGCATGCATGTACTAAAAATGATCCTTAAAAATAGATTTCTCTCTATCGACATGCATGTATATTTGTACACATATTCTGTTCACACTCATATATTAAACTTTTTGTTAAGACCTGTTATATAATAGCCATTTCTTAACAAAATTTTAGCTAAGAATCTATTAATAATGATGTTCTAAGTGGTGATCAGGTGGTAGACAATACGCAAACTTGCGATCGTCCGGTTCAAATATTTTTGTAGGAATAACTTTTCTGGTTGTTGAATCAGTACTGGTTTCAGGTTTTGGTCTAGATGTGTAACATTATGTGTTTGTATCCTGAGCTTGTCCCATATCTGCTTTAGTCTGGTTCGGTTTGGATTATTACTTTATCAGGTTATAGAAAAATATATGAAAAAAGAAGGCTATATGAATAATAAGAATCATGGGAGAGAAAAAAAGAACAATAAGAAATTATGAGAGGAAGGAAAGTTACAAATTATACAATGCATAAAATGTCAAAGAAAGAGGCTCATAGTGCTCAATTCCAATCAGATCATGGCCCTAAATTAATCGAACTTTAAATACCAATCAAGCTTGTTGGGTGACCTATAAGTCAATAAGAAACATTATAAAGTTTCATATTTTTTCTATGCGCATATATATTAGAAACACTACTACTGTTGTTTTTTCCTATCTTATTGTATATAATATACAGTTATGAACAAATGATGAATAAAATATATAAATATGTAGAGCCAAACCAGTTGTGGTTCAAGATGGATAGAAATATCATAGACATCGAAGTAGGTACGTACGTAAAAGGGGTTCCTCTTTTTTAGTATGATTCGAGATCATGTTAACGAAAAAAAACAAAATTATGCAATTATATATACAAGTATATATGATTTGGTGACTCCCACTTTTTGTTCATTTTTTTTTCCTCTTTCTTTTTAAATATTATGTTAACTATGACTTGATACATATTCTAGGTCATCTGATGATACCTCATATTTCGAAAAGGTATATATATTATTACTTTGTAAATAGAAATATGAATCCATGAAATAATACATATAGTCTACCAAAATGTTGTTTAATATAGTGAAATATATATTACGGTATGTGATTACGTAAAATAATCATAACCATGAGATCATAAAATGTATGGGAACTGTCGTCATTTTGATATGGAATCCAATAAATTATATGGTTCTTTCTTTCAATTGCAAAAACTTCACCGTTACAACTTTTTTTATTACTTTAAACTACTATTTGTTTATCTCTGTCAAAAGCAACTTTGTATATGCTGTTTCAAGTTAATTGTATTTAGACCAAAATTATATAACGTTAAAAGAAAGAATAGATTAAATTAAACAAAAACAAAAACAAAAGATCATCGTCGATATCTAAATCCATCATTACTAAGATCTTGCCCCTTTTTCACTATGTTTCTTTCCGCTTTCTTTTTGAGGTTTTATTTTCTAATACGAATGCTTAGTTACATTATCTTCTCCAATCCGATTATGGAGTATATAACCATGTTTTTAATGCAAGTATTACTAATTGATAATTGAGTACATATATCAAATTCAAATCAATATACAAAATAATGGATCGTGACCTAACGAAATCTAGATTTGTGTGGGTCATATTGAATACTAACTTTGTCTCTTCTCTTCTGTTTTTTATTTTCTTGAGGGTCGGCTGAGTTGCATTATTGATACAATGCATATGTCAAAAAAGAAAGAAGCCTTAAGTTTCACTCTTTTGATATTATAAAATCGTGATACCTATCATCTTCAAATAGATCCAACTAAGCTCTATTTTTAGTTACTACTCTATAATAATAATACATCTCAAATATTTAGTGGAATGTTGAAATCATGATAAAGTAGTGAAAACAATTTCAATTAACAAAACGCTGAAAACTACTAGTTTTTTTTTTTGTTTTTGTATATTAATGACTTTTCATTTCTACTAATATTTTGTTTTTGTAAATAGCATAAATTATGTGGGTTTGAACCCGGATAGTGACAAAGTAATAGTAGCACAAACTATTATATTGTAGTAAATATTTTAATAAATGTAACAAATTATGAAAATGAAAGGAATCATGTTTACAGCGTCCATTAAAATCTAAACCTTATTTAATTTTAGATGGAATTGTTTATGTGCACGGTGATTCCAAGAAGTAAGAACGATTAGTAAGTACACTAGAAATGTAATTATGGTGTGACCAACCAAGTCTTGACAACTACATATATCTAAAAATGTCCTCTTCGATAATGCATTACGCAGAGGTCCTAATTTTGACCACCAAGTCTTAAAATGTCGCATGTATTGTACAACTTTTTTTGTTCTTTGCTGTGTCTTGGATGTTTGACCTTTATGCAACATAACAAACCTATCCACAAAAAACTTTTAGCTTGGTCTAACCAAGCTGAAACAAAACTGCACCTCTCTTGCTCTAATAAGACTCTCTATTAGACTCAAAATTTAACTATGTGTCCGTCCAATAGCATTGGTTAAACATCCCAAATTCTACCAAAAAAAAAGCAATCTGGTTCGAATCTTCTAACGTAATATTATCTAATAGAAAAAGAAAAACCAATAAAAGTAATGTCACTGGCTCCCTTTTTCACTTGTGAAAAACAAAATATCCCAAAATGAAGACTAATGAGAGTCCAGGTCTAAGGAAAAATAAATTAAAAAGAGCCAGTACACATGATTTGACCATGAAATATACAAATCAACTTTTATAAACTTTAAATAACTGTATTGTCCTAAAAAGTATTAATCAGATTCCACTTTGATTGATTTATATATGATAATAAATGTAGACTTACAATGGCAAAACAAGAAAGTACAAAACGAGGACAAGAATCGTACCTTCATACTTTTTGTTTCACCTAACAATCTCAATCTAGTCTATCCTTCTAAAGTCTTCAATTGTGTGGATTCATGATCTGGACAACGACTTTCTTACGTCTACAAATTCGTGTTTACACTTGAAACAAAAGAATTACAAAATAACAAAATTTACCTGAAACTCAGGGAGCTACCAAGCGAATCTTGTTCCAGTGCCATCGAGAAATCTATCAGTATACCATCCTTTAGCTTGCACTTGAGATAAAAATGGACTGAAGACATCGTTCATTCTGTCATATGCGTCTTGCAATATTATGTCATCAGGATCATTGAATATCTTTTTCATTGATTTTGAATATGCTGCAACCAACCATCCTCGCAATGCGTCTTCACCAGTTGCATCGTGCTCTAAGACCATATCGGTCCATGACTTTCCATGACTCAATAGGAACTTCTCTTCTACAAACAATTGTTTTAGTTTCTGTACCTCAGAAGGCTTCACAGCTTTATGGAGACTCCTTCCTACTTTTACATTTCCTGCGTCTTGGATTGGTCTCTCAGGGAACATCAGGTTTTCTTGGTATCTCAAATCAGCAGGGCTTGGGACTTTACCCGTCTGAAACAGATTCAACAACACCTCTGATATAATTAACGTAATCAAAAAGATGGTTTTAGGAGGTTTTTTCAACTACAGAAAATGATATATACCTTGAGAAAATTAGCCACAATCAAAGCGGTTCTCTGTGGATTCAATGTGTTGATCGGTACTCCTCGCATTTGCTCTACAACACTATACACATGTACAACAGAAAGAATCGACCCAACCACCAACTGCAAAGATCAGCTTTTTCTAAGATAACCGAGCTGTAATCCAAAAAATACAGAAACTGCACTCCGAAACAGAGAGTAATAGTCAAGAAGAAGGAAATTACCTTTCCTTCCATCGATGAACATATTGTGGAAGCAAGTTGAATCCCAACACCTATCCCGGCAACATTAAAAAGAGTAGAGATAGCTTCTCCTTTGGCGAAAATGTCACTAAGATTTCCTTCTTTAGCAAAAGATGAATAGATTGGTAATCTTGTTGCCCTTGCTGCAACCGTAGCCATTCCCTATTCGAATCAAACAATGCCAAAAGGATGTGACACACAGAAATGATTACAACCAACCATTGAATATAACATTAAAAGATGGTCTCTAGAAAGCTAATATCTCTCATGTGTCTCTTGTTGAGGCAGCTGAAGAAGGCAGAAAAGGATGTTCTAAGAACAGTTCCACTTAAATCCCTTCTGGAAAAATTCATTTAATAAGAGCTGAAAGATTCTTCCATAGGTTTTTAGAAAGATATTTATACCTTAGCGAAATTCCCAAGACCAGCCATTTCAAGAAAAAGATGTGGGCATAATGGAGACACGAGTTCCAGACCAGTACCAATATCGTAGAGCACGTCAGCTGAAAAAACGAATTACTACGCTTTAATGGTTGATGCTGTGAAGACATCAGCAGAAACATGTAGCTAAAAAATGGTGCATACCCAGTACCCTCCACCGTTTAGGCTCAGAGTCCATTCTTGCACCCAAATTGCTACAAATCAGCTTTCCGACATGCTGCATCCCATCCTTCAAAATCTGTTAAAACAAAATAGAGTTAAACAAGAACATAACTTACAGTTAAGCCTGGAACAAGTTAACGAACTAAAATTTTTTGAGATGGTTACATACCCAGCTAACAACGGTTGCTTGAGCCGGTGTAGGCCGCAAGCCTGCAGCAAATAGCAGTGACTGCAAAGAAATAAGACAAAAAGCTATATATCCATGTTAAAACCTCCAATGCAACAAGCTCAAGTAAAACAAATGCAAATTTTGCCAAATCAACAATCAAGCTGAGTCCTGAAGTAGACCTGAGTCGATAACACAGATAATGCTGCACTTGAGAGATGCTGAAGTGCTCGAAACTGTGTGTACCTAAGATATCCTTCGTTCACACTGTAAAGCAAAGGTTCAATGGTTTAAAACATAATCTTTAAGCCGCCTAGTGAATCTCAAGTTTCGATTTTTGAGTTTCACCTGTATGGATATCCAGAAGGGAAGAACTTATTAAGGAAGGATTCAACCACCTTCTGAGGAACAGGTCTTGCGTCATCAACAACTTTCATCTACAACGCAAACCCAACACATGATAATTCGCATACGATTCTCCAATTCGGAGCAGCACCAAATGTTGAACTGATTGTGAGAGAGAGAATTTTACAGAGAGGTGGCCGTCGGATTCGAATTGAAAACGATGAGAGACAGAATCAGAGTTCTCGAACCAGTAAACGGGAAGGTCTTCAGGATTCTTCGCCATTGCTGGTTCTTCCTTCTTTATCAACTTCACTTTCTCCTGCTTCGTTTTCCCCAAGTAACCAAATCATTCAATTAATTGGAGGAATCGTAAATGAGATGCAAACAAACAGAAATAATGGAATTCTGAAACCCTACCAGAAACTGCATCTCTTAGACACGACGGCACAGTCAAGTCTCGAACGTTGGAGGAGTAGTCGCCGGAGTGCCAAGTGAACCACCGCAGCAACTGAGAGTAAAATCGCCTGGAGCCGTCAAAAACACAAATTAAAGAGATGATCTTCAAAACGCTGTCGTTTGGTTTAGTCTACAACAGATGATAATTTGGGCTTTTGTTTTTACACAGTATTGGGCTGAGGAAAGGCCCAAAAGTGATAGAGACGCGGCGACTAGTCTGATGGGAGGTCAATAAAGGAAGACGACTTTTTATACTCCTCTCGCGTTGATCTAACGCCACCGCCCACTTCTTTTTCTTCTCCAATACCCCCAAAAAGACAAAAATTCAAAAACTACTTGGTAAGCAAAAGTGTGCACAAAGAGCAAAGCGACGCATCTGATCTTTTATTTGATTTTTGGATTTGTTAAATTTCCAGATTCGTCGTCGTCGTCTCTCAAAACCCAGATTCTCTGGTCTGAAGAAAGCAGAAATCAAATCCATGTCTTTCAGAACACTTAGCAGGGTAATTTGAATTACAAAACCCCCTCTTTTCTTGTTTCCAGTATAATTCTCTGATATAAATCGTGTTTTTAAAGAAGTTCAAATCCAAAAGCATGCATCTTCAGTTTCGTTTATATGAGAAATGTAAAAAAAAAAAAATGATTTTGATGAAGTCGATGTTAAAAACCCTTAGCCCATTTCCATTTAAGATCACTGTGAAGTCAAAATAGATGATTGGGGAGGCTAAAAATCGAATCTTTTATGGTTATGGGTTTGATATGTTTTTTTTGTGTTTGTTTTGATTCTCTGCAGCCAAATGCAAGATCTGGAATGGGTGTTGCAGATCAGAGCAAAACCACATTTCATGAGCTTCAGAGGAAAAAAACTCACCGCTACGTCATCTTCAGGATCGATGAATCCAAAAACGAAGTCGTCGTTGAGAAAACTGGGAACCCTGCTGAGAGCTACGATGATTTCTTAGCTGCACTCCCTGAAAATGACTGCAGATACGCTGTTTATGACTTCGATTTCGTCACTTCTGAGAATTGTCAAAAGAGCAAAATCTTTTTCTTTGCTTGGTTAGTTTTTGATTAGTACCTCTAATAGGAAAAGTTTAAACCTTTTTGATGTTGAGTTCAAAGCTAAAACATTTTGGATTGGGACTTTTATGGTTGTAGGTCTCCTTCGACTTCTCGGATTAGAGCGAAGGTGCTTTACTCGACTTCGAAAGACCAGTTTAGGAGGGAGCTTCATGGGATTCACTATGAGATTCAAGCTACTGATCCTACTGAGGTTGATCTTGAAGTGTTACGCGAACGAGCTAACTGAGCAAAAGAATATGGTCTCTTCTCAAGAACTTTATGGTAATGTAATGAATAATCTCGATGACTATCGGAATCTTTTTTCGTATTCTCTGTGGATGGATTTGTGTAAACACAGTTCATGTTCTATGTCAACTGTTAATCTAAGTAAATGTTTCAAGATAGCACATAACTTAGAAAACCTTTGGGTAACTTAAACTGATAACAAAGCATGCTGAATTGGTTCTGAGTCTGATGACATAGAGCCTGATGATAAAAAGTTAATTAAACTAATACCAAAATCTTAATAGTTAGCAATTTCTTCTGATATGTCGATCCCTCCATAGTCCATAAGCTTATGTTTGTAGCCATCTAGAGAGTAAGACCCTCTGCCTATGTTGTAGTACTAGTATAACCATCCATCTGAATGGTTTGATGTTGTTATCCCAAAAATTGAGTGCGGTGGACAAAGGTCGCGAGTTCGGTAACAAAATGACATAACTACCCTTGGTCGTTTAGGAGATTTCGAGTGGGATCCACCCTTGCTGTTGTGGCCAAGAGTGAGATTGCATGACCCAACTGAAATCCTCAAATTATATACTATTTTTATAATATGTTTATTTAGCTAATCTCATATTAACAGCAACGGTTAATGTTATTTTTCATGTACCATCAGGTTAGGTAGATCCATTTCCCTTAAGAGTCTATTATCATCATCTGTCTATTATTTGTTTCACATTGGGGAACATTTTAGAATAAAAAGTTGAATTACAAGGAAAACAAATCTTACTTCCTCCAACATATTTTATCAAGTTTTTTGTAATTTTTATTGCCCCAAACAAAAAATAGTTGATTAAAAAAATACACTTTTGGAATTTTGAAAACACACGGCTTGAATTACGTTTAAAAGAAAAAAACTAAACTTTGCGATACTTCTCCATATATCAAGACATGTCTTAGTAAAGATTAAAGCTTTGTTTGTGTCATTAAGTAAAGGTTGGAAACAGTTTTTTTTCTCATCTAAAAAATTTGGTTTTGTATAAAAGGGAGAGCAGAAACAAATTGTTTCCTCTGTCTAAAGAGTATATAGTTGAGACTTGAGAGCTGTCCAAAACAAAACAAACACGTCCAAAAAACCCTCTCTTGTGGGAACAAGAAAGACCCAAAAGACATAAACACACATCAAACAGAAATAAAGCATACCAAAAAGCTTCTCTCCTTTTTTTCCTAAATTTGAGTTCCAATATGTTGAAATGATCTTTGAAGGTCTATGACTTAAGCTTTCAAGGACGAGAAAGAAGGAGAAAGATCAGATCAACATCGTCAATCTCTGGTAATGAGAGCAATTCGTTTTATAAACTAAAGTCTAAATTTGATTCAATCGTAAGAATATGAGAGAAGAGAAGATATCAAACACACAAAAAGCAGAGCACTTTTTTTTTTCCAATCTAAAAGAAAGGAACTGAAGGGATTAGTTCGAGATTAGGTTTGGTGATTTCATTACCAATCTAACTTCTTTAGCTTGGCTTTTTGTCTTTAATGGTTTGTTATGGTGGTGGTAAAACTTTAATGTTTGGTTGCAGCAAAATGTATGAGGAAAGTTCATGTTTTGATCCTATACCAACGGTGGAAGCAATCATGGACAACGACGGTGGCTTCTGTGCGGCGGAAACAACTTTTCCGGTAAGCCACCAGTTCCAACCACCGCTTGGAAGCACAACAAACAGCTTTAACGATGATCTTAAGCTCCCAACAATGGAGGAGTTCTCTGTTTTCCCTTCTGTTATCTCTCTTCCTAACTCAGAAACTCAGAACCAAAGCAACAACCATCTGATCAACCAAATGATTCAAGATTCGAATTGGGGTGTCTCTGCAGACAACTCTGGATTCTTCATGAACACTTGTGATCCAAACACAACGTCAACTCCAATTCCTGATCTTCTCAGCCTCTTGCATTTGCCTAGATCCTCATTCTCATTACCAAGCTCGAACCTTTCAGATATAATGGCGGGTTCTTGCTTCACATATGACCCGCTCTTCCACTTAAACCTTCCTCCACAGCCTCCTTTGATCCCTGCTAATGACTACTCAGGGTTCTTGCTTGGAATTGATAACAATGCTACTTCTCAAAGAGATGACTCAAATGTTGGGAATGAGATTAATATCGATAGCGGAATCATCGAGTTTAGCAAAGAAATTAGGCGTAAAGGGAGAGGGAAGCGAAAGAACAGACCTTTCACAACAGAGCGTGAGAGGAGATGTCATTTGAATGAGCGGTACGAGGCCTTGAAATTGCTCATTCCGAACCCGAGTAAGGTTAGTTATTACTTATGTCTTATGAAAACAATCTTTCATAACATAGTTTTCAATCATTGTCTCTTTGCTTAATTCACATAGTCTGTTTTTTAGGGAGATAGAGCATCAATTCTTCAAGATGGGATCGATTACATCAACGAGTTACGCAGAAGAGTAAGCGAGCTTAAGTATTTGGTTGAGAGAAAAAGATGTGGTGGGCGACAGCAGAACAATGAAGTAGACAACAACAACAACAACAATAACTTGGATGGTCATATTAATGAAGATGATGTTGATGATGATGAAAACATGAATAAGAAGCCTGAGAGCGATGTGACGGACCAATGTTCAAGTAACAACTCGCTGAGATGCTCATGGCTGCAGAGGAAATCAAAAGCAAGTGAAGTTGATGTTAGGATTGTTGATGATGAAGTAACAATCAAAGTTGTCCAGAAGAAGAAGATCAACTGTTTGTTACTTGTCTCCAAAGTACTTGATCACCTTCAGCTTGATCTTCACCATGTTGCAGGTGGACAGATTGGTGAGCACTACAGTTTCTTGTTCAACACCAAGGTTAGTGAATTTGTATGAACCATTTCTTGATTTGAGAATATATATATATAGAGTTTTTGGTGATAATGATTGAAATAAATTAATGCAGATATATGAAGGATCAACAATATATGCAAGTGCAATAGCAAACAGAGTGATTGAAGTTGTGGACAAACACTACATGGCTTCTCTTCCCATCAATAACTATTAAAAAGTTTAGGCTAACTTCATGTATTTTCTGACCTTTTTTTTTCCTTTTTCTTTTCTAATTTAATGTTTTACTCATTTGCAAAACTTAATAAACACTCATTTTGGAGCCAAACTTAAGTTTTCTATGTTGGATATTGTGATGTACACCCTTATATTCTCCATTTCTCCTAAACCATTCTCTCTATCACTGGTAAAGGAAGCAAACAAGTAAAAGCCTAGACAATCCCAAATACAAGATACCTCATACTTGTTAGAAATTTTGTAAGGGTTTGTTAGGTTTCGGCAAAACCAGATCAAAGTTTAAGTACGTACATCTACAAAATTGGTTAAATCTAATGTACTCACTGAAAAAAACGAGTCACATATGAACCAAGTGATCAACTCTACTTTTAAATTTGATAGAAATATGCATAAGCTTGTACGGTTTATAGAATAGGATGGGGACAGTAGCAAGTATCAGTGTACGTACGAGAGATGGGTAGGTGACCAGAATTTTTCAGTTTCAAGTTAAGTTACGAGACTATCCCTAATAACTTTATATAAGAAAATAAAGTTTTCTTCACAAATTTTGGCACAACCCGACTCTTTTTCTTTGGCGATAAACAGATATGGCATGATCTAACCGCTAACCCTATCTTATCGCAAGTGTTAGCAATGTAAAACATATTCATAAGGTTCCAAGGTGTTTGGAAGTATGTACTTTAAAAGTTGAACCAGTTAGTTTTCAAAGTCATCTTTTCATTGCGATTTTTGTAATAGTTGGACAGTACTATATATATATATATGCATGAATCATCGGTTCTATCTTTTAATAGTCTCGTGGACATAGATGAATTAAACTATGTACAGGTCAAAAAGTGATAATTATGAATTATCAATGAATATTTTATATGTAGGAAATTATCCACTTGAATCTCAGATTCTCACATCTGCGATGCGTTTGTTGTTAGTGTAATCAGTCGAATAATTCAGCTCTAAAAAGTAACATAGGGTATAAGTTTCTAAAATGCATGCATGTTGTTATATTGTAGTCATATTTTCTAATATACCCTTGCCGACAAACAAAAAATGTATATATATATACATGCATGAAATTTAGACATGACTACAAGATTGGGTTTAGAAACTGAAACGCTATATCGAGACATCATTTTGTGCCCTTATATGGATGGCTAGCTAGATGTAACAAACGTAAATAGTTGCCTAAATTTTTGTCATTTTTTAACCCTTCTTCTATGATTCGTCTCCATCTGCAAATGTAGAGAGTCGAGAGGGAACATAGAGCTTCATCATTCATCCAGTCTCCACGATAAGACTTGATAATGAGAATGATGAATGTATAGAGATTAATAGATCAATTCATGGGTGCAGAGGGAATCAAAACTAGTAGAAGTTCAACTGTTTGTTTCTTGTGTCCAAATTAAGTGCTTGATCAGTTTCATCTTGATTTTAGCCATGTCGCTGAAGGAAATCTTGGTAGTGCAGTGCATTACAGTTTCTTTCACAAGACCAAGGTGGGTGTGATCGAGTCTTGATTATGGGATTTAAATAGAGTTTTGTAATGAATTGCACAAAATGCAGATGTGTGAAGGATCAAGAATTAATGCGAGTGAGATTGCAAACAGAGTGATTGAAGTTGTACGTGGAAAAACACTACAAGGGCTGCTCTTCCCATCAATAACTACTATCAATCCACGTGTACTAGTAATTTGCAAGATTATATAAATATAGAGCCTAATTTTAGATTATAATGTGGTTCTGTTCCGGTTAAATAATACAAAAAGGTGTGTGATCCATCAAAATATGGTCCTTTAAAACATGTAACGCCCTAAAATGTCCACTACTATAAATAAGAAAGAAGAATGATGTGTGTTAGTCTTTCAACAACGACCATGCAAATTATATATACAACCAAAATCCAAATGAGCTACAATTTAAAGATCATCTCAGGCAATACTAGAAGATGCCCTTTTTATAAAATTTTGGGTACGTTTTAGTTAGGATTGGGACAGTAGCATTGTACTTGTACTAGAGAGTCTAGAGAAGTAGGTGACCAGAATATTTCTTTCAGTTTTTGACTCCCTAATTAAAAGTTTTTTTAAAGACAAAAGTAAAAAACATTATCTCAAACTTGGAAGTGGGACCTACCTGTATTACTTATCAAAACAAACCTATAAACAGAAATCGCATGACCCAACCGCTTAACAAGGATAGTATTATATGTGTATATTCCTAAGTTTTTTTGGCAATATATTTGGGTTTCCTTTAACCAAAAGGCATTACATTGTTAATAAAACAGGAGAATTGAAATGTAAACAGATACTTGATTGATCTCGAATCTCGATAGTGCAGGAAATACACTGTTATCTGTATCTTCAAAATCAGTCCATATACATATACAATATTTTTGTTTTACTAGAGATTCTCTATCAGCAGAAGTCTTGAGTCTTTTTCTTTATATTACACATCAAAATATGTTGTTGAATGTTATAAAACGACTGTGTTTTAGAGTGTGTATTTGGGTGACATTGAGACTAAAACTATGAAAACAAGGGAAATGGCCCCATAAAAGTCGTTGCAAAGGACCTGACTGAGAGAGATTCGGTATATGGGGGGACCTGACCCTTCTGTTGATCTTTCTAACCAACCCTTTGAGAATATCTTTTTGGCCACTATGAGATGATCAATCACATGCTCCAACCAATAACAAAAAACCATATTTACCAATCACATTTTACATTTGATATCAAATAAAATAGAGAGAGAGAGAACACTTTTGTTACGGTGCAAAAGAATTTACAATGCTTACCTATAGAACCAACATTGTGCAAAGCCATCCTTATAAGTTGTTGTTAATGCTTTGGATCTTACTACGTATAAACTTATTTAGATGGTTAAAAATTACCAATTGGAACCATATATAATGATTTATCTCTATAAATACTTGTTAGAAACATAGCTAGATGTAACATTTGTTATATCTACTTTATGAAAAAGAGGCAATAGTAATATTTTGTCATCTTTTCTCACCTTCCCCTCTACTGTCCCCATCTGCAAATGTCCGTATATTTCAAACACATAGAGGAAGAGAGACTAGAGACTACTAGAGAGACTAATTTATGAAACTTTACTTCAAGCAAGAACTTAGCTCTGTTTCAAGGTTCAAACTTTTCATCTTCTTCTCCGATTACTCTTTTTTTTTTATCTCTCTTTCTCTTTGCTCTCAAACTCAAACTCAAACCCTAAACCCATTTGTTAATCTTGTGAATTCTAAGCTTATTGGTCCATGTAACAATCTTTCCTCTATTCGTAGAATCTTAAAATTTCGTTTCCAAGATTATAAAAAAGCAAACTTGTTTGAAATTAGGTTCCAATTTCTGCAAAAGATGGTTAAAATGTTACTTCTGATTTGCAGGTGTTAAAAGGAATCATCTTTTTAGACTCGTTGAACCATCTTCATGGAAGGTTCACGAAAGTTTTGTCTTTTTGCTTATCAAAGTTGCTAACTTTTTGATATTTCTGAAAGATGTCAATGACTCTATTGTTGTTTTTGTTACAAACGCAGAAGAAAGAGGAAGCCTTTACGAGGAGATGGGTTGTTTCGATCCCAACACTACGGCTGAAGTTACGGTTAAGAGCAGCTTCTCTCAAGCCGAACCACCACCACAACCGCCGCAGGTTCTTGTCGCCGGAAGCACAAGCAACAGCAATTGCAGTGTTGAAGTAGAAGAGCTGTCTGAATTCCATCTCAGCCCACAAGACTGTCCTCAAGCTTCTTCAGCACCTCTCCAGTTTCACATCAATCCTCCTCCTCCTTGTGATCAATTCCATAATAATATGATTCACCAAATGGCTACAACGCATCAGCAACACTCTGATTGGGATAATGGGTATCAAGATTTCGTCAATATGGGTCCAAACTCTGCCACAACTCCTGATTTGCTTAGTCTCTTACACTTGCCTAGATGCTCATTGCCTCCTCCTCATCATCCTTCTTCTATGCTTCCTAACTCATTCTCAGACATCATGTCTTCTTCTTCTGCTGCTGCTGTCATGTACGACCCACTCTTCCATTTAAATTTCCCTATGCAGCCTCGAGATCACAACCAGCTCAGGAACGGGTCTTGTTTACTTGGAGTTGAAGATCAGATTCAGATCGATGCTAATGGTGGAGTGAATATGATGTATTTTGAAGGAGGCAACAACAACAACGACAATGGTGGATTTGACAATGGGGTTCTCGAGTTTAACACTGGTGTTACTCGTAAAACAAGAAGATCAAAGAAGTCTACAACTTCCCCTACAGAACGTGAAAGAAGAGTTCACTTCAATGATCGTTTCCTCGACTTAAAGAAACTCATTCCAAATCCCACAAAGGTATGTATAATTTGCTTTAATTCAGTTCATGTGGTTCATGACTCATGAGTATGAGAGACTATATGTAATATAACATTGTTGGCTTAATCTCTGCAGATCGATAGAGCATCCATTGTTGGAGAGGCAATAGATTACATCAAAGAGCTGTTAAGGACAATAGAGGAGTTTAAGATGCTTGTGGAGAAGAAGAGATTTGGGAGATTCAGGAGCAAGAAGAAAGCTCGAGTTGGCCAAGGAGAAGGAGAAGATCAAGAAGAAGAAGAGGACACTGTGAATTACAAGCCACAAAGCGAAATAGACCAATCTTGTTTCAACAAGAACAACAACAACTCACTGAGATGTTCCTGGCTTAAGAGGAAATCCAAAATAACTGAGGTCGATGTACGCATAATCGATGACGAAGTAACCATCAAGCTCGTCCAGAAGAAGAAGATTAACTGTCTGTTGCTCACCACCAAAGTTCTTGACCAGCTTCAGCTTGATCTTCACCATGTTGCAGGTGGACAAATTGGTGAGCATTACAGCTTCTTGTTCAACACTAAGGTAATGAAAAACTCAGTTATTTGAATCTGTTTTAACTTACAAAACCAATAAAACTAATCTTTTTTCAAATTTTTTATTTTATTTTGGGGAAGATTTGTGAAGGGTCTTGTGTGTATGCAAGTGGAATTGCAGACACAGTGATGGAGATTGTGGAGAAACAATACATGGAAGCAGCTGTTCCAAGCAACGGTTACTAGTTTTTCCAGACACACTTGTGGGGTTAATTGCGTTCTAATAACTTTGGTGTACTCCCTAATGAGTGATTAAGTTTAGTCACTTTGGTAATTTTCAAGTTATTCAATCTAGAGTTAGAGCTAGTACTGATGAGTCTCTTCGTTTGGAATTAGTCTAACTCTATATACTGCCAGTTTTATTGCTTTTGGCTTTTGTTTATCAGAAAAATGTTCCATTGCTGTGTGTGTGTGTGTGTTTTATGGTATGCTTGGTACACTGAAACATTCAAATCAGAGTAAAATTAAATGGAGAGAGTTTGAATGATACTGAAGTTTTTCAAAAGAAGCTTTGAAAACCAATTACTCCTTTGCAAAATAAGCTAGAACAAAATTCAATAAACTTTAGTGAAGCCTCTGGGCCATTTCCTTAGCTATAAGCTTTTGGGATACAAACTAGTCATGGGCTTTTGTAACTTCCAAGTTTTCTCAGGATGGTTATTTCTCTCTCTCTCTCTCTCTCTTCTCTCTCTCTCTCTCTCTCTCTCTCTCTCTCTCTCTCTCTCTCTCTCTCTCTCTCTCTCTCTCTCTCTCTCTCTCTCTCTCTCTTGCCATTAGAGACCTGATCAAACCGGATGGGTTTTAGAACACCTTTAAAGTACGAGGCTTTTTTGTTGTTGTTGATATCAGTGTTAAATATTTATACTTGTATTTTTGTAAATTTTGACCATAGTTAAATTACGAAGAAATACAACTAGCAGAGAATATGAAAAAAAATTAAACAGAGACGAATACAACAAAAACGATAAGAAAACATGGACGAAAAATTTAACGAGTTAAATCTCTAGAAAAAACACTAATTTTTAAACCGTAAAGCCCAAAAATTTGTATGATTTTCTCAAATCCAAAGAACTTTGTATTGTAAGTGCAGAAACTAAAACATAGGTTATATGCTAAATTGTTAATGATATAAAGTTGAAACACTTAATTGTTAAGGTAGTTCAGTTCTTCCAACTTAGATCCTTGTAAATCCACTCAAAAATCGTCAAAATATAGACTGATATATCAATTATTTCATAATTTATCTTCTTTAACAGTAGCTTTCTTTGTGTGTCTCATTTTTCATTCTTTATAATGTTGTGTCAAGTTCAGTTCTAACAACTTGTCAACTCCTTAAAATTGTTCGACCATTATTGATTTGTTGTGTTCATCTTAAGTTTAAACTCAGCAAAAAAGAGTCTTTCACTAATAAGTCACGTATTTTGTATATTTAGATTTACAGAAAATAAATGTAAGAATTGTTTCTCTTCCGGATTTTAAAACCATTACTTCTTTATTGGTTTAGGTTTCCTAACTAGGAAACTATAATCACATCATCAGTGATTTTTTTCTTACAATAAGCCAATTTTAATCTTGTCAAATCATGTTGTACCTGCCTCTTGTCACAAACTTGAGATGATCCTCACCACGACTTCTCTAATTTGCCATCTAATCTGCGTCGTTTTTAATTAATCATCCCACCATTACTTAATCACTCTTTCTTTACTTTATTATTAGATCTAATAAGGATATATGATTTTGTCTCAGTTCTCTTGTCTTTTCTTCGTTGTCTATCACCCTTTTTGCTTATTCCCTATTTCGAACAGGTCATATGTAAATTTGTCTTTTTAATGATGTATTTTCACGTTTTAATTAATAAAATGCCATTTGTCACATGTTTCACCTAATTCTTTATTCTGGCTGGATAAGCATATCACTTGAACAAAGGCTTTTTACCAATTCAGTAAATGACTGTAAAACGATATTGAAGTCAGATAAATATTTACTCATACGTAACTAAACCCAGTTAATATCCTATTTTCACATATATTTAATACACTAAACCCCATTTTATTAGTAATATTTTTTGTAACAAATTTCTTTTTTCCCTGATACAGTTTGACACCTATAATTTGTAAACAAAGTTCCGTCTGATTGGCTCATTTGAGTCGATTTTTTAGTATGAAGCTGACAAAAAAAAAAAGTTGACACCTATATATTTTGAATACTCAAATGAACAAATAATTAACAAGTAAAAAATTTGGTTTAAATTAATTCATATACTAATTAATCATCAACAACTATCATCATAACTTATGATTTTATCACCCAAACAACTCATAAAAGTAGAATACCAAAGTCGAATATAAATTACGATGATAATATAGTACAAACCTTCAAAAAGATACAAAAAATCATCTCATCCAACAAAACTTCGACATGTTATTATGATTTAAAACGTCCACAGTGAGCTTTATTGGTTAATAAAGCTTCAATAGAAAAAAAAAAAAAAAGAAAAAAAAAAAAAAAGAAGAGTTAGCAAAGAAAGTCAAACAACCAATTGATAAAGAGATTAACAATAATGATGATAACGAAAGCATCATTAACGACGTAATAACACAATTTAATATGAACGTCATAATTGTATTTCTATATACCTTTTTCTTAAAAACCATATATTTTATATACCTACAATAATAACACTTATACAATATAATAGGATCGTACCTTTATAGATCTAATCGAATTACCCTACACATAAAAAAAAAGACTTTATAGTTAGTTATCTTATCAACTTCTTTATTTGGTTAGATTTTGTTATTAGAATTAAGAATAACTTTTATAGATTGGATCGACTTGATTGATTTTTAAGATTCACAGTCTTTAGATTTACAGGAATCGTTAACTCGATAGAAGAATTTATTCTCTAATATCTTTTACACATAAAACAATTATTAAAGCACAAAAAAAAAACTAAAGCAATTAAGGTGGACACACACACTTTCCAGCCATATAAGCAATAATAGAGGTTTTTCTTTTATTATCAAGAAGGAAAAAAAAGAGTTTTTTTTATACACTTCAACATCAACATCACCTCTCTTCCAATAATTTCATTTGGATACAAAAACAAAAAATAAGAGAACCAAAGAAATTGCAGAATGAACAAACAAATTTAAAGATTTAATTATCACAAAATTAAAGTAGTTTTAGCTGACACTAATTACAAGATCAACATGAGCTCATAAGAAGTTGTTCTAAATACTCAGCACCTAAATCTTCAAAAACCACAAGTGTACCACTTTCTTGTTTCACAACACTCTGCTTACTAGTACTACTTCTTGATGTTGAAGAAGCAGAAGAAGATGAAGAGTAAGAAGAGGAGTTAGAAGAAGAAGAAGACGAAGAAGAAGATCTCTTCTTCCCTCTAGGCCGGTTCCTAAGCGAATGTTTCCTCTTCAAGGCCATAACCGGAGATCCTCCATCTTGAAGATTCACATTCTCCATTTTCTTGAGAGACTCTCTAACCACTTCCACGGGGAAATTAAGTGTGGCCAGAGAACCTTTGGTGGCGAAAGCGGCTTGGTCGTAAGCAAGAGCAGCTTCCTCGGCCTTGTCGAACGTCCCGAGCCAAACCCTAATCCCGTTCCTTGTTGAATCTCTTATCTCCGCTGCGAATTTGCCCCACGGCCTTTTCCTCACTCCTCTGTATGATCTCTCTTCATCGACTCCAACCTTTTCTTCTTCCTCGGAGTTGGAAACTTCACTGTTTTGGATTTCTTCCTTAACCATCATCGTCTCCGACGACTCAAATGAGAAAAAGTCATCGGAGTAATCGTAGTTAGGGCACAAGAAGGAGTGAGGATCAGAAGATTGATCAAAGAAACAGCTCTCGTTCCATAAGAGTGATGATTCTTGTGATGAGCTCCAAGAACTCGGAGACGAATACATGGAAGATTGGGAATATTCCATTTCTGAGATTTTTTTTTAATCTTCTTTAGTTTTTTTTTTTCTTTTTCTTCTTTCTTGTTTTTGTTATCTGTTGTGGTTTGTGGGCAATAAGTTATTTGAAAACCTAATCCTATATATATAAGAGACACGGATTTATAAGATATTTGAAAGTGGGAAGTATTTTATTGTTGTATTGTTTTCATAGGTCCTATAGACAAATATGGCTGCCTTAAAAAACCAATAAAAATTCTAATACAACCGCATGGGGACCAACCACAAAACTGGTATAATCTTTTTTTCCAATACACTTAGGGAAAAAAACAAGATTTTATACGGATCTATCCCTATTCCATAGAAAGAAAAACAAAACAATTGGGGTTTTCTTAATTTCCACGTGGCCCAATACTATTTGGAGGAGTGACGTTAGGCGGCGAGAAGCCGACAAAACAGCTGAAGTCAGCAATATCCTGATGTGGCACTTGCCCTCCACGTAAGTTTAGACAGGCTCGACCTGTAGGGACCTGTTTATTGTCTTTCGAGGCAATGTTTTAAGTAAACTATGGACTAGTACACTGAGGAGAGACTCTAAAAGAGTTGACTTGAAACATTTCCCAATATATACGTGATTAACAACGAATAGTAACTATATCGTAATTTTAATGAAATTATTATACATGTATTATAGCAATTTCGATCTCATCATGACTACTAGCAAAGGTTATCAAAATACGCAGTTGAGGACGTTTTATATGGATATGATATAGTAAGTATCGACCAATTCACTAATTACAAAATGACATATTCGTTATCATTTAGAATTCGTTGGTCATTTCGCTCTAGGTTTCGTCAGTTTTTACCACAACCAATCTTGAGGAATTAAAGGATTCAGTATTTTCATCGTACATTAACCATGTTCATATGACAATACCGAAAAAGTTACTACATACATATGTCAAAAGTATCCGTGAGCACTGAGCAGTGAGGATATATACTTTTGGTTAAGAGGAATATTGTGTAAGATGCTACATACATTTAACAAAATCTAGAACATACTACTATTGGGTCGCTTGAAACATTTTTACTTATGGAGATCAAACATCTTCATCCACATTTTGAGTTAGTGAATGGTTTATGTAAATTATGTCATGGGTTCTCAAAACCTGATACCACATAATAAATACCACACCAATAGTAAAAGTTCCGCAATCTTATCAAAAATAATTGAATGTTATAAACAGAAAAGACTGATGAATATGTAACATGTCTAAGTCTAACACACTACTATTTCACCAACTTATTAGTTGTAGTATAAATGTCCAACAAATTTAACAGCCCTTATAATCAGGGTATGTATATATGTAACATAATTTTGTAAGTTCTGTAAATAGTATGAGAAGTCGATAGCTAAATTTGTAAGTCAAATTTATTCAACGGTCGTAAACGTAATACTACCGGATCCAGATTTTTAGTGTTTCGTCTTACACTGCAAGAACCATTTTTTTATTTTCTACGGTTGAAATCATTGGTTTAGTGTTTTGTTGTGATAAAAGGATTTAAAGAGAGAAAAAGAGAGATCGAACTGTGGCCCCGAGAGAGAGTGGTCTTCTCTTCGATCTGCCGACAGCCACTAATTTATTTATATATAAAAACTTTGGCACAAAGACAAAATAGATATTTCTGTAATAAAACCATTGGTCAAAAAATATTGGTCATTTATGGTTGGAGAATAGGGTTCTGTAATAAAGATCCGACTGAAACGTCACAGCTTTTTAGCATCACGAAATTGACTTTTTTTCTTCTTTTTGGGGATTCTTAGAAAGACCGATAGAACTGAAATTGGATGAGGTTTCCTTGACACGACCTTTATAATTGGAAACTTATTTTTTGTATGGATTCTATAAATGCATATAACGTTTCAAAATCCTGAAACCTTTGTTTACTTTACTATAGCTAAGATTAATATGGCTCTAAAGTGTTTTATTTTTCTTTCTAAATGTGAGAAATGGTACTCGATCAGATTGAGTTATGGTTCAGATTGGGAGATATCCTCTACATAATGTTGTATTTATTAGAAAATTACTTTCCTAGAATTTAAATACCGCTTATTGAGAACATATGGTTTTGAAATGTAACTCGTATGTTGATTCTTAGTATTTTTTTTTATATGAGTTAAGTGTAGGTGTGATGCGCCCTTTTACTACATGCCATTGAAGCTCACGTATTTGGTTAAAAAGATGTAATGATTAACATCTAAGTCTTCTTTTCATGAAGTACGTTGGAAAGGATGAATCATTCATATATGTAATTAAGTCTCCTTTGCTTGTTTCTTCCACGTTTGGTTGACTAAAATTTCTCTACAGTCAACTGCATTGATTCGGAATGTGTGGGTGTGGCTCTTTTAGTTTATTGTGATTCACAAAATACATGTATCAATTCAGATTGGCTAAGATAAGCTAATACTGTAGTTAATTTCTTTTAATAATAATCAGTTATCTTAAAAGTACCATAATAGTTATTACTTTCGTATGATAACACAACACATGTTCAATAATAGGAAGGTTGGGAAAAAAAACTATTCAATAATTATATCAAAACCAGTTAGTTTAAATATAATGATATGAACGGTGATGAAGCTTTTTTTTTTTGTTTCGCTTTATTAATTTTCCTGGCGTTTTCAAGCATCTGATACAACTTGATGATGCTTATAATTGAGTAGAAAAGTTTTATTTCTTTCTCTCTTCAAAAAAAAAAAAATAAATAAATAAAAGAAAAGTATTCCTTGAGGTTTTAAAATGGGTCATATGACAAGTCTCTTTATTGTTTGTTGGCCACATAAAAACTCTTGCAAAAAAATAATAAAACAAATTAAACCAAAAATCTCATTCAATAGTTTGTATATTATTGTATATCTCATGAATTAAATAGATTGTACTTGTTTGTTACAAAGTCTTGTCAACTCTTTATATAAGTACAGTACTCACCCAATAATATTATGAAATGTTTTACTAAAGAAAAGTTAATTGGACGACGTCCTTAATGAGTCGACCTAAATTAACACTTTTCACGATTTATAAGATAATACTGATTAATTAGAGGAAAAACAAGTTATTTTCCTCTATATTACAATATTATATGGAATAATTGGATTACTTTTTCTCGCTGATATAATCAACAAAAATTTAACTAGGACTGAAAATTTGAATTCCCACAAAAAAACAACCAGAAGAAATAAAACATATATATTTCAAAGAGAGGAGTGGGTTGATCTGTATGTAGCTTGGCTGCAACATAAAACTCCATAGAAGATATAATAATGTGGTACATAAATGTTATTTTAAAAATAATCCTTATATAATTAAAATAAAATACAAAAATTAGTTGGCATGGCTATTAAATTATTAGGATTGATGTTCCTTAAGAAATACTGTTCTTTTACGTCACGATAAATACTATTAAACATTAACTCTGTAATATTAGTTTCTCATAACTAACAAATTTTTTTTGCATACTGATTTTTTAATCTTTTTGTTTTCACCAAATTTGATATCTTTCTACTGTGAAAATTTTCATTTATTCTCTTTTGTTAATAAAAAAATTTCGGCTATTTTCAGGATTTGGATCACTCTAAAAGTCATTTCTTTGTTAAATAAAATTCAAGGAAATATAGGATATATATTTTTTTTGTGTGTTAATGGTAGTGCATTAAAATTTAAATGTAACAAAGCTAGCTGAGGCATGCGATAATGTACTATTTCCATGTGCTATAAATGGAAAATATGGCTATTGGTTATTCCCCATCACAAAAGAAATGGGGAAAATAGAGAGAAAACAATTGAAGGAAATTTATTAAAAAAAAATAATAATTATTGTTGACAAAGTGATAACAATAATAATATGCTTTGATGAAGAGTGTTGGAAGCGGACAAGAGAGAGAGAGCGAGCTGAGCGTTGCCCGCGAGACAAAAATGAAATGTTTTTGTCCACTTAAAGTGATTGATGTCTGACCTCAACGTCCAAGTGCATTACCCCTTTTGAACAATCTATACATTCACAATCCCATATTTGTTACGATGCCAGTGACATCTTTACAACCACAAACCAAAAATTTATCAACACTATTCCTATAGGGGGTCACCTGTGTTTTTCTTTTCTTTTTTTGTAAAGGGATTCTCATTTAAACACAAGTAGTTTTTTTTTCTTAGGAAACTTTCATAAAATGTATATATGAGGTGGAGAAAAGATCACAATCGAATCAACATGATCCATATAATGAGAACTACTAGAGTCTGCCCACTTGATGAGTATACAATTGGAACAAGAAAAATGAAACTCTTCAAAGCATATCCCCTTAATAATACTAAAGCCAGTTGTTTAAAGCATTTGAAGGTTTTTTTTTTATGCTCCAAACTTTACATTCATTCAAAAAAAAAAATCAACCAACCTCCAAGAGAGTTTCTAGAATTAGAAAACTCGTTTCATGTAGTTCGTTATTGTTTATTGTTTCTCACCACATAAGCAAAACAAAGCTAATTAATACGTATTAAAAGATAGAAAAAAAAAATTGTTTAAAATTGGAGCGAGGCTCATATTGATGGTGGTGGACCATTAGAATGTAGTTTAGTTATATGACTTTATATGGCAACTTGATAATAAGATAATAGTAACAATTAGTCACTAATAAGAGAGACGGTGCATGAACACTTTATTAATTTTCTTTAATTTGGTCACTTTATATAATGTCCGACCCTAACCCTGCTTGTAGCGAAGGTCAAAGAGACCCGTAAGTAAAAAACTAATTTTATCATTTGTTAAAACATAAAATTAAAAAAAGTACATCAAACATGCATGCGATTCGATGTCCCCACTAAATTAAGGATAACTATGATAAAAACTCATTAAGGAGTTAGATTCATTCCTGATTAGTGAACTTAACAGTTATGTAATATTCAATTCCTGGTGGAATTAATAATAACTCATCAACTTGCTTAAAGGTAATGAAGATTTGTTATTTTTGAAGCGTTTAATACTTTTCATAGAATGATAGGTTATATAGGTTTTTGTTAATATCTTTTGTAAACAACTAGCACGGTCCCATTATTTCATAATTTTTGTTTTTAATTATGGTCTAAAACATATAACCACTAGACGATTAACCCTGGATTTGCGGTGATGTAATGATTTATTTTAAAGATTGTAATTTTCTTTTGAATGATGTCTATCTTTAAATTTTAAATTTAAGATTAGAAATATAATTGTTATTATTAGTAAATATTTAGATGATGGTTAGAGACGATATATATATATATATATGAGTTAGTAGATTAGTATTATAAGAAGCTCGTGAAGTTAATGCCAAATTTTAGAAGTTGGTTATATATATTTGATGAAAAATTTGAATATAGTTTTTTCTCTTTATTAAAATATACTGTCTTTCACAAAAAAAAAAAAAAAAACGG